GGTCGCCTGGGGAGAATTTATACTCAGATATCATCTCAGAATGAAGCGATCATCCAAACAAATAATGTGCAGCAATTCTCGGTATCTCGAAGATCGTTGTTGGATGTGAACGGAGTGAACATAGATGGGAAGTCCTTCCCTATTTCATCCGAAGATGACATAAAGATATTTCGCAGAAGAGCTGGCTCATGGAGAGTAAGTAACTTGACATGACTCCACTGCTAAACTGTTGATTCGAGATCAGGAAAGCGACCGACTTACTCCATTACGACCGTCAGGGCCCCTTTATCGGATTATTTCCACTGAAAAGCCCCTCATTATCATAATTCCCAAGGACTCTGAATCCGGTCTTTCTCTTGCTTTGCGCCTTGCTCATAACTTAGCTACGTATCTAAGGCTCGACATACAAATCCTTTACGACAACGAGGCGATTTCACAACTCCAGAGGGAGACTTTTGGTTGCAGCAATTTGATCATCATTGGCGGGTATAATAATAAGTTTGGACAGTACATACTTTCCGGGAACCCCAGCCCAATAAGATTTACTCGCAACGGATGGACATTGGCAAGTAGAACCTATGAAACACCTGGAATAGGTAAGCTCCTTGGCTATCAATACGGGAAATTCTCATCTTTCGAATAGGGGCAATGTTCCTACATTCACACCCCTTCTGTTCGACTGGCTTGAGCCTTTTCATGGCATTCACCGATGAAGATGGCCTGGAGCGGATATTCAGACTGTTTCCATTGAGGACTGGAATAATGATCCCAGAATGGATCGTGACAGGGCCTAAAGCAGACTTGCTCGGTGCTGGTGGGTTGCTTGGAGCGGGGTAAGGTATCTGTCTACGAGGTAATGTTCTTACTTACATCTCATTCTTTAGATACTGGGGGAGATCATGGGAATGGAATGAAAACATATCCTGGTTAGGGTTCAACTAACGGGCGGTTCTCGTAGATATGCAACAAGAAGATATAAATCTATTAATATAAATAATGAAGAAATATACTACTTTAGAGGATCAAAGTCTCCCCAATCGTCTTTGGTAAGTTTCTTCGGTTGTAGAGGTTGCATTCCTCCCCAGGACGACTGAGGTGTCACCGAAGGAGCCATTACGTTACCCATCATGGGTGACATTGCCGCCATTGTTGGGGGTGTTGCGCTGCGCGCCGGTGACATTACCAGTGAAGTCGTCGGTCGTGAAGGGAAGGATGAATTAGAGGGTGGTGCATTCGTCGCGGGCGGCATGATAATATTGTAGTTGGGTTTATTGGCTTGTGGGGGAGGTATAGCGGGTTTGAAGGGGGTCGCGGACATTGGCTGCTGTGATAGGGATCCACCTAAGTTGATCCCTGTTGTTCCCGTAGGTGTGGTATTTACTGGAGAAATGGCTTTGGATAGTGGGCTTGGAGTGGTAGTAGCGGATAAAGATGATCGTGGGTGATGAACAGAGGTGTTCGAGAGGTTTCGCGGAGGTGGTGGTATCACTGGAGATGTGGTGCTAGTGAGTGAACTTGATGAGATAGTTCCCAGAGTATTGACGCTCCCAAGTGTGCGCAACGGAGATGCTGATGATGTAGTTGGTTTAGGCGAATTCGTCACGACCCAGCTTGATTGTGACGAAATCGAAGTACGGCCAGTCGCCACGGGTGTTACAGCTCTTGAAGGCTATTTCGTAGGATAAGGAACTGATGCATAAGGTTTATTCGGTACTCACCTCCGATCCTCCATCTAGGATACTTCCCCATACATCGTCCTCCCAGGATGAAGTCTTGGCTGTTCCAGGTCGCCTGGGGAGAATTTATACTCAGATATCATCTCAGAATGAAGCGATCATCCAAACAAATAATGTGCAGCAATT